ACATTCCCAGAACAGAGGTTTATTGCAATTCGCTTTCGAAAAGTGAAACAAATAATTTGAAAATTTACGTAAAGAATTTTCCTTAATAGCAAGTAGTTTAATTTGGACTTGCTCCACATCCTCGATCTTTGCAGATGTGAGTTATGTGTTTAATTTTTGTACACAAAGGATTATGAAACGCGGATATTATGTCCAAATAAATCAACCCTCGTATGTATATGCTGTGCAGTGATCGTGAATCGGTTCTCACATAATGCCGTTTTATCACGGCACGCGCCTCACTCGAAAGCTGAAATCGGGAGTATCTGAGGGAGAGATAAGAGAGTTTGATTTTAAGATAAAGACCGACCGACGCATCTACCGAAACCAAGATACAAACAGAAAAATAAAGAGAATGAGGGAGAGGTTGAGTTCTCACGGTCGAGCGTTTTCGGGGAGAGAATAGTGCATTTATTTTTAGGACAACAATGGGCCCCGAAGAGCATCAGCGAGACGCGATATTCAGCGGATTTCTGTATTTTCTTCGGGAAAATCGAGGAAAATTTTTCAGCGCTGTGTCAGTCGACCGCATAGAGCAACGCGAGCAAGGCGTCTGAAGACAAGTGCGCGAATTATTTGTATATATAGTCATATATACACACATATACCTAAAAACCTATAGATATCTATATGTGCAGAGATAGCCCACGGTATAAAAATATATAAAGATGGATTTATACTACATATGGTAGAAGAGGGGAGCCAAAAGCGACCATTTTTCAATTCGACGAAAAGGAAAATGTGAAAAATAAATGTGAATTTTTGAATTTTAGTCTGTGTGTGGCGGTGGATGTGTGCGTGCAAGTGCTGGTCATGAAAAGTTGCAAGAAGAAAAATAATAAGCCAGAGCCAGCCGAAAGGTATCAGTGTGTATCTATAACAGCATTATCCCGAAAAGAACCAAATACGAAAAAAATAAAGAGAAAATGCCGAGTCTCAGTCAGAAGAATATTAAGTAGAGGGACACGTTGCTGCTTTGCGTTCTTTCAGATATATACTAGTGCTTCAGATTTGTATTTGAATTTGCTCTTGGGGTTCGGTTTTGGCTTCTCCGGACCACATCCTCGTTCGTCGTTCCCTCCCATCACCATCGTGCAATCTATGCCACTTAGTTTCGGGGTATGTTTTCTAGTTTCCTAGCTAGCTGTCTCTTTTGGCTGCTTTTACATTTTTCGTATGCTGCGCTGCTGCTTTTCTGGCTGGTCTTTTGCTCAAATAAAAATTCCTCTTGCGTGTTAGCTAAAAGTTATTTTTAAAAATTTCTTTTAATTTTGTTTTCTCATTTACCAGGAGAACCGAGACTTTAAATACGGCGGAGACGACGTTTCCGCCTGTCGATTCTCTGAAAGATTTTCAAATTCTGGCGGAGGCATTCGCAGATGCATTAATGCTGACAAGAAAACCTCAAAATATTACAGATTTTCGCTTCTCGTTGTAATGGAAGCGATCTGAGACACGAACTTAGATTGTCCAAATTGGCGAACTATACAATTAATTTGGCAATTATCACGATTTCCTTTCCCCCCCTTCAAAGTTATTTGCTTTCATTCACGTTCTCAATATTTTGATATGAGTGTGTGCGGCACACAAAAGCCATTTCTTCATTTCCGCGAAATGTTACGTACACGCACGGTTGCCTTAATTTGACATAAGTGCACTATATATGCCTATATATGAACGCGCATGTCATCATCGTTTATGTGCATTTATGTATTAAATTTGAGAGTTTACACAGAGGCAATAGATAATCCAATAGGTGTGATTCGATTAGAACTAATTTTACTTTTACTGGCTCTTCTGTTTGTCAATGGAGTTTGTTCAGTGATTCTAAACTAAATCATTAAAATAGACTGGGTTCTTCAGAAAAACAGATTTCTCATATGTCAGTTTATGAACTCATGTGTATCCAATAAAATTCATTAGGTTTAATCGTTCACTTGTAGTTTAGCTCCTTTGCAGACTGGTGACAGTATATGGTAGTAGTAGTATGGCCAGTTTAGTTAGGATTTCAATAATAAGAATTTATACAAGCCATAAGAAGTTCACAGTCTTACGGATTTTTAGTTGCCTGAGATTATTAGTTACTTTTGCAAGCCTTTTTGAAAAGCTTTAATTGTAATGAATGCACAGCTGGAGCACTGCAAACGTAGTTTCACCAACTTGCAAATATTAGTTTTTTATGAAAGTTTCAGTACAATTTTTCACCCACCGTTTACACATGATTCTCCTTAGAACGATAGCCGTTTTCGTATGTCGTAACGACTAAACGTATTTTTTATTTATTTATTTATTTTTTTTTGAACCGGTAGGAAGAGCAGAGCGTGAAATTCCCACATCCACCAGGAAAACTCACACACAGTCACAAATTATGCGATGGAAAATTTGCAGTATACGCGAACTCTGTGGTGTGGGTGCGAGTGCGAACTTGCCTTAGTCAACTTTTTTGCGAGCGAAGGAAATGCCGTACATTTCTTGTTCCTCTCGCTGGCTTTCTTATTTTGCTGAACATTTTTTGTTTCTGCAGTTTTGTTTATGTTTAGCCACAAACATTAAAGAAATAAAACTGCGCTGTGCGTTTAGTTTCTCCTTCCTTTCCCTGTTGTAATTATTTACTTGATTGGTATATCTAAATGGGTAAAGTAAAGGCTAGAGACAATATTTTCTCCCCATTTTGAATATGAATTCTATTGTATAAAAATTAATTCTATGTATGTGGGTGTGGAATTTCTCTGAAACTAAAATAATATGGCAATACATTCGATATGTTCGCGCTTAGTGGCTGCCACTTTCTATAACTGCTGTCAGGCACTGCTACTTCCCACCCACTTATTGACTGCCGCCCCCCCTCGAATCACATGAAGCTAAAAGTTAATGATGCCATTAAATCCATGTTGGTGCTGCAGAGGACGATTTTTATCATTCATTTATGGTCGTTACTTAATTTATGCTATTGTTACCGATTTTATAAGACATTTCCCGCCTGGCTGGATGCACAGAAAATCTGAGAACTGGAAGAAACGCAGAAAAATCTAATATTTGCGTCTGGCAAAAATAGCTGGCCGAAATGTCGCACTTGACTTGACCCAGAAAAACATTCACATTTGCATATTTACATTGCCTATCTGGATGGAATTTATTGTTGCTGTCCCTGTCGAAAGTAGCAGTAGCCGGGGCTTCAGTGGCAAATACAAATAAAATGCCAACAGAAAAAATAAGAAAATATTTTCCCTTTACGTAAACGACAAAGATGCAAAAAATTCCGAACTGACGGAAGAGCAAGCGCAGATATTTCAACAACTTCGGCCAAGGAAAATGGAAGGGAACAGCTCTGGGTGTTTATCTCTGCCGGGTGCTATTCGCCGCCCCTGCCGCTTTGAATCTCAACCCAGCCACAGTGCATAGTTAGTTGTTTCGCTAGCTGCTCAATGACATGTGCTGTCTGAGTGCCAAAAAAATAAATTGAAAAAGAAAAAGTAGAGAAAAAAAATTGAAACGGAAAGTCTGGACGCCGCGCAATGTTATTGTATCTTGAAGACGTGAAACTGAAGCCACCAGGCCGAGTTCAGCGGCCTTTGAAAAATGTTCGATGCCCTGATTTTGATTTTGAATTTGGCTTTCCCAAGCAAATGCCCAAGATATCAAATTCTAGAATAAGCTTTTCTATCTGCAAACTGCAAATTGCGAAACAAATCTTACTCTTTGTGATAAATATGTACATTCCCAAAAATATTGTACCCATTGATATAAGAAAAGAAGGAATATTTGATCTCTGTGCAAAGGAATTCGGCATTATAATTGCATGTAAAGATGAATTTATTAATTTTAGCAACAAGAAGGTGGTTAGAGTATGAAAAGCTGATCGGAGGGATTTGTGCCAAGCACTGCACATGGCCCCAGCAAAAGGCTGCCCTTTCCGTAGCTCTGTTGTGGTTACATATTAATTTACTAGCCATTAAGTTCACATTTGTAATTGGAACGATGCCAGCCTAAGGGGGGCCAGTCCCTAAAGTGCCTGCTCTTATGGCTCTGCTTTCCTCCTTTTCATGGCTTGCTGGTCATAACTGTCCGAGACAAAACGCGGCAGCTTAAGCGCAGGCAGCTGCTCACAGGTGCAGTGCCAGAGCGCTACTGCTCCACAATGCTGATAGATTAGTTCTCTAAAAGCATCGCAATCCTCATTCAGGCAGCACAATGGGAGGCTAGGGGACCTGTGTGGGAAGTGGCTTTCAAGTGACCACTTTAAGCATGTCACTTTGTGAACTTTTGGGTGAAGGCAGATAGCAACGAGTAAGTTGCTCTGATGCTCCAAATTGCATAAACGTCCCACCCAAATGAGGAGATTGGTTTATCCCTGACAAAGTGGCAAAACTCGAAGTAAAAAATTCGTCATTCTTCTATGCAATCACTAATTATAAACCGGTATTTCAATAAGTTATTGTACTTTATCGACTGGCAATGTAGAAAATAATCCCTGTTCGTTCTCTGATTTCATTCATTTCAAACTATAGAATTTTTGAAATTATTGCCTGATGTCGGGAGAAATATTTTTTCCGTCGTTGACAGCTTTTGGCAATCTATTAATAACAAGCTGTGAAAAATGTGTATATATTTTAATATTAATATTTATGAACTACTGCTGGAACCCGAAATTTAAAAGAAACAAAACTTTCATGATACTGCGCGGTAAATATGCGTTGCCGGACTTCCAGCCGGGAGTAGAAATTGGGCTTGGCTTGGGCATAATTATAAACTGGGTCAAGTGTAGGTTTCGGTCGGCTCTGCCTCTTGCACGCTTTTCAGGAAAAAGCCCAGCACGTCTACCAACAAGCTTTTTCCCGATTTTCCCGCACTTTATGCCCGAGAGCGATTGCCCCCAATGCACTTAATTGATAGATGAGTGCTGCCCGAGTGTTTGGCTCAGTTGCTAACTAAACCCTTGTTTTCGATTCCGTCTATTTCAGTAATTTGCGTCGGCTGTTAGTGGTGCTGGCTCGACATCAGACCCAGCCACACATCCAGCTTTGAAAGCAGTTGTCGCATCCGTCGAATACCTCCCAGAGATATTTGCATTCACATCTACAGCAATGGTGATTAGCCAACCCGATACGACGCCCCATGGAGCAGCGGGTGGTGCGGGCGCAGGAGCCACGACAGAATCCGCTACTCCTGGGGGACTCGACGGCACTGGCAACAGTTCAGCGCATCCATCGGGGATACCGCAGGATCAAATAGACAATATCATGAGCAGCATCCACAATACGGGCAACGTCAAGATGAACAATCACCGCAAAAAGCTGCGTCAAAGGTAAGTGTTCCTAGTGTTGGTTTCGGGGGAAAATCTACCAAACAATTTTTACTTGATAATCTCTGTTCTCATTATTTATATATATTTTCCAATTGCCTTCAGGTTTGACATTATTAAGAAGCTGGGACAAGGCACCTACGGGAAAGTGCAGTTAGGAATTAATAAGGAGACCGGTCAGGAGGTGGCCATCAAAACTATAAAGAAGTGCAAAATCGAAGCAGAGGCTGACTTGGTGCGCATACGGCGCGAAGTGCAGATAATGAGCTCTGTGTATCACCCGAACATTATCCACATCTACGAGGGTAACTACTTCTTTCTTTTTTAAATAATGTAGAGAGTGACAGAGTCCTTGTAGTGTTCGAGAACCGCGAGAAAATGGTGCTTGTCATGGAGTTTGCCGCAGGCGGCGAACTTTACGACTACCTGTCTGAGCGGAAGGTCCTTAGCGAGGAGGAAGCCCGTCGCATTTTCCGCCAAGTAGCCACCGCAGTCTACTACTGTCACAAACACAAAATCTGCCACCGGGATCTCAAGCTGGAGAACATCCTGCTGGACGAGAAGGGCAACGCTAAGGTGCGCATAACTTTGATTAGATTTGTTTACCTAACGGAACAGTTCTTGCCGAAATGTTTTAAAGACTAATTTGTCCTAATTTAGATTGCCGATTTTGGTCTCTCAAATGTCTTCGATGATCAACGCCTGCTGGGCACGTTCTGCGGCTCACCACTGTACGCCTCCCCAGAGATCGTGGAGGGTACCCCGTACCAGGGACCCGAGGTGGACTGCTGGTCTTTGGGCGTACTCCTTTATACGCTGGTCTACGGCTCCATGCCATTTGACGGCTCCAACTTTAAGCGGCTAGTCAAGCAAATTAGCCAGGGGGACTATTATGAGCCGCGAAAACCCTCGCGCGCCTCCACCCTGATTCGCGATATGTTGACGGTTTGTCCAAAAAAGCGAGCCACCATCGAGCAGATCTGCTCTCATTGGTGGGTGAATGAGAATGATAACGTGTCCTGCCTGGATCTAGCCGAGGACCTGGCCAACCAAACGCCTGTTCGGCTTGATGTGCTGCTCTCCCTCACGCCTTCAGCCATCACGCCGGACCAGTTGGTGGTGCCGTCAGCGGATGGAGTAGCTGCTGCTAAGGCTGCAGCCAACGAACGCGTCCCACGCTCGCACTCCGTGGGCTCTATCCGGGATATGGGACCACCAAATACGGAGGCGGAGCGCCGTATACTGGACATGGTTGCCGGTGAGTGGGCCTTCTCGTCGGACTGCTTATTGCTTCTCGAATCGCTTGAGTGATCCCCAGAGTATGAGATAGAAGTTCCCGTGCAGCAACCCGATTTAAAATTAATAAGTAGTTTGTAGGCTGGGTCGCTTTGTTTGGATTTGTAACCATTCAGACATAAAATAGTCCGTCAAACCGCCCCAGCCTCTTGTGTATATAAACGAAGACTAACTGGCCGCCCCACACCAACACCAACACCCACCGACCCCGAATCCGACCTACTCACTAACTGATCCCTCTCGGACCAATCCCGAAACAAATAACCAACGCCCCTCACTCGCGAGTGTCCTTGAAATCTTTGGAACCAAAGTCATTTAACCAAACTCATTAAACCACGCCACCCTCTCTTTCTGTCTCTGTCTTCGTTTCGTAATCTTTTCTAGCCGGAGGTGAAGCAGCTTTGATGCCCTCGCCTACCAGGACCATTACTCCTGCCCAGAGCCCGGTGCAAACCAAGAGGAAACTGCAACCTACTGTGTCCATGGAGAATGCGGCAGGAAACACGGCCAAAAAGGAGAAGCCGGCAAACAGCTCTTTTGTGATCAGAGTGGGTGCACCACAAGTAACTCCACTAGCTGAGATACCACAGGCTATCGTCATACACCAGGACATGCCAATGGAGGCGGATCCGATTGGTCATGCTTCGGAGGAAGCTGGCGCAGCTCCCAGTTACTCCCAGAAAGACATGCAAATGGTTGGCGATTTATGCGAGCAACTGATCGGCGGCGGCATCGGTAATACTAATATCACATCGACCATGCCACCATCAGGTCCATCAGCAGTTGCCCGCGAGGCCACCAGAGGAAAACTAGGTGCGGTGGCGGAGATTCCTGAGGAGAAGGACGCCACAAAGGTGATAAAGAAGTTTGTAAATAAGCACAAGACGGCCGATCTGGTCAATGCCATTAATGAGTGCGCCTCCAAAGCCGGGCAGCCGGCAGTAGGAGCTGCACAGCCTCCTCCGTTTGTGCGCAAGTGCAGTCTGCAGGATGAATCCACGTTAAATAATTTCAACGCCGATCGCCGAAAATCCCGCATCCTAGAGACAGCAGAGAAGTTCCAGCCCCCGCCGCCAGTAACCCTGACTGCAGAGAAGCCTAAGAAACTCAGCATACCCGGTGTAAGTGTGGGCAGCTTTAAGAAGGAGTTTGAGCGGAAGGCCATCAATCCTCCGGCTACGGGAAGCCCCACTCCCGGTGAGCTGAGGGCCCAGGAGCAAGTGGCGGCCGCTGCGGCTGCTGCTCAGGAAGCTGAGGCCTTGGGAACTCCACCCGCATCGCCAGTGTTGGCCAGTCAGTCCCTCGAGGCCAGTGACTCTAAGAACTCGGTGTCATCCCTTTCGCTGGACGAGGCGCGTCGTTCCATGGAGAACTCCATTGCCCTTTTGCTGCAAGCCCAGAAGGAGTCCAGCAAAGAGGTTGATCAGCTGTGCGCCCAGACGGAGACCATCGGTGTTAACGAGCCCGTGACGCTGCAGGATCGGGAGCGTAAGTTGAAGAACGCTCGCGCTATCATCGGAAATGCAATTCAACCGGGTAAGTGATCCTAGCATGCCTATTTCTTAAAGCTACGATAGCTTCGATAGCCACTACTACAACATCCGTAGTTAAGTTAAGCTAAACCACGCAGCGCTTTCAAGTTTGACTACTAGCACAACATTACTATTATTATCATAAGTATCCGGGATCTGGTTAAAGGTCGGCGCACAAGTCGAATGGAAGTTCCGCTTGGAGATTCCATAATGATATCGATATTTTTATACCCTTCCAGTCTGCAATTGGATAATTCAATTAAAAGAAATATCAATGCACAATTATTTCATCATCCTCGATGTTGGAAAATGCACAGATATATATGTATTTCTTTGATTTGTTTCTTAAAATATGACCCTTTAGCTTCAGTTTGTCCTTTTTTTAATTATTATAAAAGGGAATGCCTTTATTATCCATTTTGGCTAAAACACTATATATTAGGTCAATTAAAAATTATAAAAATTTTATAATGGGTGCATAATTTTAAAAGAGAATGTCTAATAGATAAGTTGTTTTGTATCAAAATAATATGCAACAAAAAGAATTCCCTTTGTCATAGTTCTACAAAAATGTAGTACATTTATATTTATATTTACAAGGCATGTTTCTAAGATGGTCATAGCGTCGTTATTTTAGCAATTAATTAATTAATTTTAAAAACATAAGACCATCACACACAATTCAATAACAAATAATATTTACTACCATTCTTATGCTTAGATATGGTGGGAAATAATAAATAGAATGCAATCTAGTTGGGATTTTCTATTGTTTAACATTTATTATATAAAATTTGTTATGTATTAATTATTATCGAATTGCATATTGCAAAGATATACAAACTCTACGTGCCGAAGTTAGTGTCCTTTTTTTTAAATTCTTAAGCTGTAACAAATACTTAAAATTCTAGAGGAAAATCATATTTTCGTGTATTTTTTATATACAGGTAATTTATATCTAACTAATTAAATGTACCACTGAAAAGACTTCTGAAGCAATATATGTAATATCTCTCCACGATAAAGGTTCGACTTGTGCTGACCGCAACCCGCCAGGTGCCATCGTCTTGTTTCTATATTTACTTTTTCATATATACTTAATTAATATCCATTTTTAATGTGTATGTGAACGTTTTGCAAGCCGAGTGCTGCATGGATTATATTTGGCTTTTGAAATATAATCTCCTCACCCAAATTCATCAGCAAAACCAACAAATATACGCGATTCCCTCTTCCGATTTGCTTTTTCGCTTGGCCCAGTGGTCCACAAAAGGCGAAAAAAGTTAATTAAAAGTCCTAAAGCAATAATACACTCACCAAGTCATCGACATTGAACTCACCTGTGTTCGTCTCTCGCCTTCTTTTTTGCTGACTATCACATCGTAGGGCTGGACTACTTGGGAATGGGCAAAGAGGCGAATTAAAATACATGAACTGTGGGAATAGTAAACATAAGTAGCATTTTTCTTTCATACATTAAATATTAAATTATTGTAAAAATATAATTAAACTTTTAAAATTTGAGTAGTTCTTGCCTCTTAACAATTCCTTTGATCTCTAAATCATTCCTCACGATAAATGTGTTTTAAATTTAACGATTTCATTGATATCAAGTCAATGTAATATATTGTCTCAAATTTTGCCATAAAGTTATAAAGTTTCAACATAGTCATAGGTGTGTGTTATCTAATATATATAAGGACTGAGAATCGTTTAAGGATTCCCTCGGCTCTGATTTTTGTCCAACCCAGTGCCAAGCCCATCCTTTCCCGCACACATACTCATCATATTCATTGACTCATCATCTTAATTTTAGTGATACGCCGGCCAACACCGTTTCATGGCATCGGCAACGGCTTTGGCAATGGCAGTGGCAGTGGGGGCGACGGGGTGGTGGGCGGAGCACCCAAGCGTGCCCAGAGTGGCAGCAGTTTCATGGGCTTCATGGGAGCAGGAGCGGTGGCCACACCCCGGTCTATCTTGTCACCTCAGACGGCTTCGCCCGTACTGATCTCGCCCCACGCTCTGGCTGCGGCCAAGCAAACGATACAACAGCGAATCTTTGGAGGCGGCGGAAACCAGGCTGGACCCGTGAATCGGAGGCCATCCACCTGGCAGCCGCAGGCGTCGTACAGCACAGCCAGTATCTTCCAGCCGGCCCAGTCTGAGCAGGGTGTTTCGTTCAAGATGCTGCAGCAGCAGTATCAGCAGCGGTGTCAGCAACAGGATCAGGATCAGAGAACGAGTGCTTTATTTACGCCGCCCCCGTCGCCGCAGTACGCCCCCAGCCACGGGCTCTCCCCTGGTAGCAGCAACAGCAGCAGCAGCTACAACAACAACAACAGCAGATTCAACACGATGCCCAATGCTAATTACAATGTAAATTCGCGCACGAGACCATTCAATCATAATCAAGCTCAAGACACACTCAATACCAAAGCCAGTGCTACATGTGCCTTGCCAGTGGTCATGTGGCTCAAATGTAAGTCTTGGCGGCGGCTCAGAAAATACAAAAATGCTATCCATATCCGAAACCCCACCAAAAATGTGCCTTATGCTATGTGTTCCCGCAGAAAAATAGAAAAACGAAAAACCAACCAACCGAATTCGTTTCCGTTTCCTGTTGCGTTCCTCGATTACTTAAATTTTCCTCTTGCTACTTGGACACTGAGAAGGCCGGCGGCGAAACCGAACCCTGCTAAGTTTCCATCGGTTAATCAGTGTCTAAATATCCTAGCTTGGTAGTCCTCGCTTTCCTGTTTTGATCACACCCAAAAACCTATTCCAAATCTGTGGCTCTCTGTTTTTTTCGTTGTTTGTTTATTGCTGTGCGCGATGTGATATGATGTTGTCGTTGTTGTTGTTGCTGCTGTTGTTGTTCGTGCTCGTAGATTTAGTTTTGGTATAATTGCCTCTACTTAACACCTAAAACCATTAGGAGCGCCTTAACAAGAGTTTTTTTTTGCCCTTGAACTGCATTCTCCACTAGCACCATTGCGTAGTCGTGTTTTGCTCACTGTTACTGATGCTTTAATTGCTTGTTCCTTTGGCACCATAAACTACACCGGGTCCAGTCATTATCAGCCCAAAACAATCACTAATTTCTATACTTCTCCACAGCCTCGCCAGGAGAAGCCGAGGGACCGCCCACTCCGCCGGCAGCGGTTAAGACGTCGACGGCCTCAATAACGCTAAAATCGGCCACTCTGCCGCGACGCAAGATTAACGCCAAGGCTGAAGTACAGCTAGACATTAAACCGCGGATTCTGGAGCAGTCAGCGATGCCGCAATCGGCGATGCGCTTTAGCACAGAGATGCAGCATCCGGTTGCTGACCTGCGGAGCGCCCCACCCCGCGAGGGCCCAATCCCATACAGCCCCATCAAGACGACGCTCCAAGCCAGGGCCACTAGTCTGGAGCCCAAGGAGCACGTCATCACCATACAGCGGCCGCCCACGCAGCAGGCCTACGGACGCTCCGGTTCAAACACAACTACGCGGTAAGTAGCAGTGCCCAGCCGAATTAACTTTTATATACATATATGCACTTTAATCCTAAGTGCAATATAGATTGAGAGGTAGTATACAATTCCTGTATTCCATGACCTTTGCAGTTCCGGCTCGCTCTCACGACAGTCGACGGTGGAATCCGAGTCTGATGCTGCAACCACGACTACGAACATGTCGCAGGCTACAGTCACCAGTCAAGGCACCTCGCAGCCCATTAAGAAGAGTCCGAGGGAGTTCATCATACCGATTGCTGTCGAGGGTGGCGGTTTTGTCACACCGCGGGAGCGTAGCGTTGAGCCCTCTGAATTGAGTCACACCACCAGCAGTCGGTCCACATTCAGTCGCCTGCGTCCTTCGCGTCGCATAGGGTAAGTTAAGGTCCACTTTTGCTGTGATGGTGGGCGTGGGTGGTGCTTACTTGCAATCGACATCTTTCCGGACTCAATTCTATTTAATATGCAGCTCACTCCTAAGCGAGGCCGGCTTCGACGAAGGCTCGCCATTCCAAAAGATGCGCACCACTTCGATAACCCGGGATGGCGGCAGCGGAGGTGCTGAGGAGGAGCCTCGCTTCACCCCCCACCGACTCAGGTTGGTGCTTCACTCTATACCTGTACTTAAAAAAATAGCATTAGCGACCAGAATATACTTGATTTTTAGCACCAAATTTTTCGGATCCAACGTAACTATTATTGGTTGTATCCCTAATCCCTAATCTCGTTTAAAAATATCGAACATACACGAACTTGATTTTTTGATAATATATGAAAATTAAATTTAGGTTTTACAAATACGGTTCTAGTTGCTTCTTTTCCCTAGTGCACGTCATGGATACGTAACTTTATTGCAAAATTTTCTGGTTCTGCTTGACTGTCGTTTGATTCGGTTACTTTCATATACATATTTTTATACCCTTGCAGGGTATTATAATTTCAGTCAGAAGTTTGCAACGCAGTGAAGGAGGCACCTCAGACTATATTTAGTATATATATTCTTGATCAGGATCAACAGCCGAGTCGATCTAGCCATGTCCGTCTGTCCGTCTGTCCTTCTGTCCGTCTGTCCTTCTGTCCGTCTGTCCGTTTCTACGCAAACTAGTCTCTCAGTTTTGAAGCTTTCTGAATGAAACTTTGTATTTAGCCTTCTATATACTCTCACTCGTATATATGTCGGAACGGGCCGGATCGGACGACTATATCATATAGCTGCCATAGGAATGATCGGAAAATTTTTACAAAATTTTTTTTTCACTTTTTCAGTTTTCAATAGAATTAGATCAAATTTGAGATATAGCCTTTTAACTATACTCTACAATTTTGCATAAAATTTTATGAAAATCAGACAACTAAATCATATAGCTCCCATAGGAACGATCGAGAAATTAATACAATTAAAAATTATAACATTTTAAGTTTTCAACAGATTTTCATCAAATTTGAGGAATAGCCATTTTATATTAGTCTTAAATTTTGTGTCAAATTTCATGAAAATCGGACGACTATATCATATAGGTGCCATACAAACGATCGTTTGATGTAGAGGAAAAATGCAAATCTTTGAATGTAAAACTGCAAATATAATATGTATAGGTGAATGAAATGAAAGCAGGTATTACTTCATTGTTTTTTAACACAAATATATATAATTTATATTGTATTGATTCCTATTCATAGAAGTTCTATCTGCAAGGGTATATAAACTTCGGCGTGCCGAAGTTAGCTTCCTTTCTTGTTAATATATCCGATACACATCTTTTTACCATCTTTCCATTTGGCGTACCCGCAGAAGTTCAAGACCTGTCAAGAAAATTAGTCAAGACAACGACTCGCAAAGCTCAAATGAGGAGGACGAGGATGACGACGATGGCTTTGAAATACTCACGGCGGAGAATCTGTTTTCGACGCTGCTCCAGCGGGTAAGCGCTCGTTCTCCGTCCTCCGTGCTTCTTAATGCGGTTCTTTTGCTCACCCAACTTATGCTCCGCTTATAATCCTTAGGTGCGGGCCCTGACGAATCGCTTAAATGTCAACAGCGACCTGCCTGTTGGATTCCCCAGCCATTCTAGTCGCCTGCTGACAGATATTTCGCGGCAGGCCCATAGTCACAGTCCGTTCTGGAGCCAAGGAGGTCCCTTCACCAGGTGAGTGAGTCCGTCCGACACGAAGATCTTTCAACCTACAGCTGCAGTGTCAACTAGAGTTGGCAGCCAACCACTTAGTCCACTTATATATACAAAGGGGCGGATTTCGGGCCTTTTTCCTTTGATACCCTTGCTTAACCACTGAACCTACCACTAACACTGTGCTAAAGTCTCATATGAACATTAACTGCAAATTTTATGTGCATTTCTTACATGCTGCCAATTGTTATCTTGCCTTCATCCTACAATCAATACCAACGCTTAACTAATCACTCACAGTGTGCAAAGATCCCAAGTTAGTTATACGTTTAGCGAGACGGTTGAGAAAAAGAAAGTGTAAGTACCCAACAACCAACTTTTCTCGTACGATAGAACCGTGCCGTATTCCGCCCCAATGTCCAATTATGCCCATTTCTGGCCTGCTTTTAAGTGCGGGGTACGCTGGATGAGGGCCTTGGGCATTACGAATCTGCTGCGCCGATGGTTGGGCCACGTCCATCTATCCGCACAGAATTATGGCTGCTAACTGTTAGTTGCAAGCTCCTGTAATGTATATGTCCCTCGGCGAACGTATGTAGCTCCGTTGCTGTGTCCACAATTTACTGACTTGCTCTCTTTTTACGATATCCTCCACAGTCGCCTAAACAGCAGCAGCAACAGTACCGGGCTTGGCGCGCCCTGGAGGCACAGCATGTCCCGGGACTTGGGGAGCGACATGGAATCGATGTTTACGCGTACAGGGGCCACGCTCCCAAGAGGTGAATATCACAGAATAAAGAGTAAATACCTAGATCAGTAGTGAATTATACGCGGCCTAGACAGATCCATATCCATCTCCGGAGTGGATCCAGATCCTCGTACACACAGAGACAAAAACCAGAGTAGAACTAAAAAAGCGCACTGAAAAGTATGCTACGTAAATAAGAATGCCAATCTTTACACGTACGCGTTTGTACACCTCTTAACTTATTTAAGTTCAAGTAGTTTTGATGTCTGCTAAATAAACAAAAATTACAACAAAAACAAAAGAACATATACGAATAAAATTAATTATTACTCGACTTAGTTTAAACCCATGAAATGTCCCCTGAAACCAGAACATCAAGCAATAGCAAATAGTCATTAAGTGTCTACTTCAATTATCGATTGAAAATGCCAATTAATACACAATCATTATAATAGAACTTTATTTTTCCGTTAAAAGCTATATACTTTACTTGATTTTGTTTACTTGACTTTCTGTTTTGTGTCCGCGCACAGTTCTAATAGCAAGTAAATCTCTATCTACTATATTCACTTAATAGCTGTCTCTATCAAGTGATCTATACCTAACTACTTATAAAAACGCTATCTGTCCTAGAGCACAACTCTATTGTTATTAACCCCTTAATGCCGCCCATGCTTACGTGCCTAGGAATTTATTTTAATTGCTCAAAATTGAAAGTCAGCCAAATACCCGCCATTTAAGTTATTATTTACCCCTATATGCGTTTCCTTTCCTCTTCCCTTGAGCCTACATGCTATGATGATGATGATGAAAATAAAGTTATAAAATAAAAAATAAAGAGAAGGCCAAGCGATTTGTCCAGCTAGTAAAAGTTAAAATTGTCACGAAATCGTATTCAAAGTTCTGTATAAGCCAACGCCGACTTACACACACTTACGCTCAAGTATGAGAATATATATGGTTAAATATATATTTATGTATGACAAAGCCGACCTAAATGTTACTTAAAACGCGAGAAATTGTTTATGATATAAGGGAAATTGTATTTACATTAAATAAACTATAGCGAATGAAACACCAACACAACCTTATTAATGTACTACATTTTCCAGTGAGAACTACAACCACATTGATGACAATAAAACAAAAACAGTCCAAAAGAAAAAAGGAAAAAAAAAATAAAAATAAAAATAATTGTTTATATTATTATTATTGTAGTGACCACTCTAAGAATTTGTTTTCGCAACCATAAGAACATGTTTGAACTATTTTTTTTTGGTTATTTTAATTGTTGTACAGTTTGATGCAAATGGCCCCGCTACCATAAATTTGTTTTAGTTTTTACCAAATCGTTCGACTACAAATTATCTTAAATATTTATCCTACACTCAAGCAACACACAAAAAAAAAAAAAGAAAAACAATTATTCTAATGAGCTAACACAAAAATCAAAAACAAAAACAAGTTTTTAGTTGAGTTTTCCAGTTATTCTTTTTGATGTTTTATTAGTTACGATTTAAAAAACAAAATTAAACCCCCAACTTTTGTGTGTTACAAGGAATTAATTTCTTTAACAAACCCACCAAGCTCACAAACATGCAAAGCAAATACAAATACATGCGCACCTACCAATCAGCACACTCTTAGCTTATCAATGTAGTTTACCCTAAGTCTCTGTTCACGCCGTTTAAAATCGCCAACAAGCTAAACAAAAAATAATAGAAACCACTAACTTGGCACTAAAATTGTAAATTAAAACAAACAAACAAAACAAAAACAAATTTTCGAGTTCTGGGCTTTTTTCTAATAACTATATCTAACAGAGTCTCAATTGTTAAAATGCGTCCCAATGGATGCAAATCAGAGTTGATAGAGCACACACACAATCAAGCAAGCAATTAATTGACGAAGAAAAAATGTCCAAAACTTTGAATACGATAATGTACAGAACTGAAATTCTCAGCTACTAATCGAACTGTTTATGTTCATCATCATTTCGTAGATTTCTAACCCCGAAAGCCATGATCATATTCAATATCACCACAATCACAGCCGTACACAGAGATAAAAATGTAGATTGTGTCAATAATGCAAGTCCTAATTTGGTTGTCTTCGTGTTAATTTTATTCGCATAATGATGTTTCCGGAAGCACAGCATGAATATCACCTAAAGTTCTAAAGTAAAAAGAAAATTCTTGAAACCAAACTTTACATACAATATTAGAATGCTCTTTTTCTCAACCGCCTAATACATAAAATTTCATCCTTCCATTACATGTTTTACAAATACTTTATGAATAATTTTATTATTGGCCGTTTACACATGTTTTGTACTTACTTTCGTTTACAGAAGGTTTAACTACTTTAACTACTACCACCACGCCCACAAAGCATGTTATAACCATTAACCAAAGTACGTTCAGTACAACCGCCACCAAACCGCATCCAGACATGTTCGTCTCCTTCTACTCCAAGACCAACTGCGGCAACCTCAATGGCAGAGGCGCTAAACAGCCTCCACGACAAGCAGCCATAACATCCGTCGCGGCCATAAGATCCGCCAGCTCATCCATATCCACGCCTATGCCCACGTCCAGCAGTGACCTCGGTAGAGAAACCCCGACCGCAGGAAGCCCCAGGAAGCTGTAACACCACATGACGTGTGTGCGCTGCGGTTGGGGGTGCGTGGAGTGCTGCTCTAGTTTTGGCCAAATCAACTTTTTATTTTGTTTGCATAATTGTTTACTGTTTAACCAAAAATTTTATTTTTGACATTTCCCGCTGGCAGAAGCGTTCTCAAAATCCCAGCCCAAGGAACAGCAGCTAGAATTGGCTGAAGGAGGCCCAAAAGAAGACAAGACAGAAATTTGTTTACATTTTAATTTATATATTTTAGTTAATTAAAATCCACTTGATTTGGTTACCACAAAACGTTCCCTAGTACAGTGAATAATAAATAATCTTAACCACTCAGGCTGAAAGTTTTTAATAAAGAGTGGAATCATTTATTTAGATATCGATCAGGCACAATTACATTGGATAATACATTTATACTACAGAGCATTCCCCAGTAGAATGAAAAAATGTATGATTTGTGATTTTAATTTTAAAGGAATTTTAAACGTTTCGGCTAGAAACTAAACGACAGCATTCAGTCATCTTATCAACTCCATTGTCCATTCTCAGTTGAGCATTTTCATGCGCAAGAGCTTCAAGCTTTAAGCATAAGCAATATTTTATTAAAACATGAAAAAGAATTCCTAAACCTGATAACTGAGAATTAAACTGATAACGGACTAAACCATTAAACGTAATACTATTTTTATACAAACTAAGTAGTACACCAAGTAAATAAAATGTGAAACCTTTATTCGACCAGCATTTGTTACTGCCCGTACCTTGCACGTGAGTTAATTATTTTTAGTTGTGTTTTGATTACGTTAACTTTTGCTGGAACACTTTAATCCTTAACCCTTCCTGCAAGTATGTTAAGTGTTCGGGTCTCTTCTGCTTTAGAATGTGATTCTTTTGGTTGCGAAAAAGAGAAAACAAGAAAAGGTTTTAGATATCTCTGGGCGGCGGCACTGTGGCATCGATCAGTCATGTAAGTAAAGAAAGAAGGTTTATACCTATCATCAGTGCACCGGACAAGTAAGTGGCTTCATTACTGATCCATCTAAAGATTTCATTTTACTTTCCTATAAAGATATTTCTCCTTAAATTTGTCATTTTAAACTCTTCCCATAGGTCACCAAGGCTCCATGGGAAAGCCCAGCTCTGCACCTGGCCATGTGGAAAGAGGGTCAACCGAGTCAAAAACAAATTCAGCAAACAGCGAGGAGCCACTGGACTTGGCCGACCTCGATCTGTCCCGCCTGAAGCTCAGCAAAAAGGACTTGGCGACCTTGTCTAGCATAACTCCGGGACTGCCCAAATGCTTCCAGGAGCAGCTTCTAGCTAAGCTGCCGCCCACCCAGGCCCGGAAGCTATCACGCACCCTGAGCGTTCAGTCCGGTGCACCCAGCAGTTCCTCCACGCCAAAGGCCTACAAGCGCAGTCAAAGCGGGGGCAGGGGCCATACTTTGGATCATCAGCAGCGGCAGAACGATTTGTTAGACTTTAGATCTAAGACCGATGCACCTAAGACAACTTCTGCAAGTTCTGCCATTTACCGGAGGAGCCTTAGCCGCAGCCAGACGCCTGCGCAATCCTCGGTACAAGAAGCGGAGAGTAGATCCACACAAAGCACTAAGAGCCGGGGCAGCAGTGCCTGTAGGGACGACTACGGAAAATCGTCCTTATGCAGCAGCAGCACCTACACCAGTGAAATCAGCGACAAGTATAAGTACTACTCCCCTATTTAAGCAAGTCAAGCAACGTGAGTCCATCAATTGCTCCAACAGATGCCCAGGAGAAGGGCTATAGTGGCGGTTTGGGGCGTCCTCCGAGTGGGTGCCTCTCACCTCCACCTCAACTCCCACAAGTTCCTGTCTCAGAGGGTACCAGCTCCCTTCGGATCGGACGGTCCTCGCAGCGCCGAATCTCGCGCTTTCTGCGACCCGACTTCTTTGATGATTCCAGAGATCGGGAAACCCAAACAATGTTAATGGAGATACGGGAAAAGTCCAATGACCAGCATGACCAGGGGCAGCTACAGTCTCAGGATTTGAGGCAACGAAAGCACAGCTTACCAAATGTGGAGCAAACGGAGCCACCTTTAAATCCAGGATCCATTCCATTATCCATTCGTCATTCGCGCAATAAGAGCATGGAACTATTTACTGATCTGCATTCAAAATTAGTTCAGCCTTCTAGTGTCCGGCTACGAAGTTCAAGGTCTCGGGAGCGGGAAACGGATCTAGATAAACATGAACTGGCGGACAATATACTGCAAGAGCTGCAACTCCTTTCCGCTGCGAGAACTCAAAGTGAGCAGACTAAGGATACTGAAAAAGCGGAGCAGACTTCCACCATTAGAAAAACCAGAAAGGTGAAACCCAAGGAGACCACAGCCAGTGAACCAGAAGTAGGCAGAATTTCAACTGCAAATACGTCGACAACGATGGCTATGGTGAGGAAGGTCAAGAAGGTAGCCAAGAAGGCAGATGAGGCCATTAAAGCCACAAATGCAGATAATACTGAATTGGCTAGCTGTGCTCCCAGGGAAACCAAGCTAAAGAGGCCGAAGTCGTACCCCATGAAGGATCTCGCACAGAGTATCAAGACCCCCGCAGATCTGACTGAGCAGACCTCCTCAATCATGCCCAGCAAATTGCCCAGCAAGCTTACCTCAGCAGTGACCAATGATTCTGTCTCAACGGAACCTGCTACTCGAGAGAGTCGACTGATCAGACCAAAAAGTTACCCGGCCACAAAGTTGGCCATTCCCAAAGAGCTGCGAAAGGTTACGCGAAGCGGAGTGGCTATACCAACAATAGCTGAAACCATTCCAGTTTCCACAGTTATGACCAGTACCACTAGTTCCAAGTCCACATCGGAAGAGAAATCACTGTCGGCCACGTCCACTGGAACCATAACGACGGTTACGGATGCAAAGGACACTGGAACCTCCTCAAGCGATTCGCGATCTACCACCATTAAGAAGATTATCAAGGTCTCAAAGAAGTCTAAGCTGGTGCCACCCATACCAGTTACACCGACCACTCCGGCAACTACTGCAACAACTACTGATGTAGATAGCTCTAAGGAATCCAGTCCGGTAATCAAAGTAAAGGAAAAGTCACCTGAGAAGAAATCCAGCAAGGGCTTGCTTTATGCCCTAGGTCAAAAGTTTGAGAAACTACGAGACTCTGCGATGAGCAAGGAAAAAAAGCATGGATCCACCGGAGGAGCTGCTTCTCTGGCCTGTACCCAAAACCGGGAATCGTCTGAAAATCGCATGTCTCCAGAAAAGTCAAAGAAAAAATTTTTCGATAGCGGGAAACTGGAACTGGAACTGGAACCGGAACTGGAACTGGAACCCACGGAAGACAAGCGATTAGACAAGAGATCTCGTTTTGAAACTATGCTGGGATCCTTCAGAGAAAGATCAGTGCCAAGAAATCAGCCCAATGAAATTATGCGTCCCAAGCGGGCGGCCAGCGTTGAGGAACTGCACGCGGCCTCTCAAGCGGCTCAGGCTAAGCAAGGAAGTGCAGTTAACAAGATGTTCGGTGGTCTACTGCGCCGCTTCGATAGGGAGATCAGTGAACAGCGGCGGGTTAGGAGTACTCGTTCCACCAGCAACATTGAGCGTCAGCTTCGAGAGGAGCAGGATCCGCAGGGGGATGTCTTGCTGCCAACCTCGCCCATCTATCAAAATGTGGTCAAGGCCACTAAGGTGAATATTTGTCCACTACCAACCAACGAGGAGAACTGCAACTGTGAGACGGCCTGCCCTGATTGCAGCCAAAACACCAGGCAAAGCTTTCAGACCTCCAGCAATATACCGCCGTCAGCCGCGACAATCAACAAGGAGAAGCGCAAGGGGCTAATGCTGGATTTGGCCGGCGCCAATGGGTCGAGCAACGCCTGTTCCGGTGAGTTGTCCACTGCCCCCGCATCAACAGGGGGCATCAGCTACCGAGGAGCTAAGACGAACCCAGCTTTGCTCAATGGAAACTCTGTATTGGGAATCTACTCTAACTTGCCACCCTATCCGGGTGCCATTAAGAGCGCTAGCTCCAATAATAGCTCCAGCCAGCAGTCTACGGAGAACGCCACCAACAACAATTCGACCAACACAAACCACAACTCCAATTCCCAGACCTCCGGCTACAGGACTTCCTCGGCATACGAGATCAATAGGAACAATACGCTGCTAACGCCCTCCAGCGAAAACATTGCCAATTGCTCGTCGGACTCCCATAGCTGCCAGGACGAATGCGCCTCTACCTCTACATTCCTCTCACCCACCGAAGAGCCGGAACTGTACTTTGACAACTGGTCCATATGCTCCGAGGACAACTTTATGTTACACGCTACACCCTCACCAACGGTCTCCCGTCTATCTAGGGCGTCCCTGTCCTCACCCACGCGCTGCTCCGAGAGCTCCGATCCTAACGAGAGTGTGATCGACCGGATCAAGAGGCGAAGCTTCTACAGTCGATTCAATGAGCATAAAAAACCGCGTCGCACCAGCAGTATAGTGGGTCCCTCGGCGGTAAGGGACTACTACCGGGAGCAGCAGGCGTCGGTTAAGGCGCGCTCCAGTCACAAGGTGCACGCCGCAGATCTAGATCCACCACCGATACGAACGCACTCTCCGGACATAGCCCAGCAGTTCTTCAGGCCCCTTAAATTGAGTCCCGTGGGAACGGAGCTCAAGCCTCCTGTCTACCGCTCACCTCTGGACTACTCCTCGTCTTCAGCGGGAGCTACTAGCAAGCCGAGGCAGAGCCTGAATGACATTCGGAATTCCTCTCCTTCGTTTATCAGCAAGCGTTATGAAACGCACGACTACACCTCCGTGCCCATGCGTTACAAGACCTCCTCGAGCTCGAGTCCTAGCAATGGAGCGATCCCAAGTGGCTACTACAACACATACAATCCAAAAAGACGCTCCTCCTACACGATAAATGGTAGCCTGCCTACCACCAACAGCACAGGTAGCGGCGCAGCAAGCAGCCACCTGGATGGTTATGCAACCATTGGTAGACGATCCATCCGGGCGTATGATCACAGGACGATGTCCCTACTTGAGCCCTCGACGGCCAGCAGCAGGAGCGGAGAAGGCACCTCCTCCTACCAGCGGAGAGAGACGCGCACTCCTGTTCGAGATTACACATCCAGCATTTCAAGGTCAGTGAAGGGAGAATAAAATTTATGTATGTCTCTTATTTTTGATAGATATAAAATTAATTAATTTTACAGATCTGGATCGCATTATCGCACTTCATCTGCCACGCGCAGTCCCACAAACATTTGATGTACCACACCGCAGAATGGTTTCTGCATATTCTGCTATTACTCTAAGCGAAAGAAGGCGCCTCCCGGATACGGACAGGAAAGCGGGCACGGTTACAGACATGGACAGGTCTTAGGCACGCCACCCAACACTACCGCCTCGTCATTATCCTCCCGCGCCAGCAGTGGTGACTCCAGGAAGACACTGCCACAGCAACATTTTCACCTGCATCCTACTCCCAATCAGATCATGCAGCCTGGCCCCTTTCAGCATCATCGTCACACAAACGAGCACAAGTTCTAGACTGGTCCCGAATAGAGAGATTTTTTTATATTTTTTATATGGAAACTAGAAAAAAGTTATACTCTAGTTAAGATATTTGGATGTTACCAATATAGTCTTAGGTTTATTGGAGCTCAGAACGTAGCGGTTATACCGGAGTTCCGGACATACATACATAAATCGTGGCTTAATATACGATTTTCAAATGATTGTGCCTTGGTTTTTTCGGTGGTTTTATATTTAGCCAATATCCATATAACGTTGATTTTAGTATGTAAATGAGTAAGCGGAACCGAAACGAAAACAGACAAAGGTGAAGATTAAGAGAGTGACATGTTCTACAGATATTTATATGTATTTTATATGCTGTATTTTGTAAGGAAATCTCGTGCCGAAAATACGTTAAACTGTCTATTAACTTTATTTTAACTAGAGTTTTTTTGCATGCATACAAAACTGATGATTTTATTAAATTTATTCGTTTCCCTAGATCTTTTAATATTATTGCTAAATAATAGAAAATATGCAAATTGCGAGCGAAGAGTCACAAACAAATAGCGAATTTAAATTAACAAATTATGGAACCAACAAAAAATACTTGAAGCGTTTTGGATAAAATCGGAATTCTAAATAAAAAAAGATGTATTAAGAGCGTGAGAAGAAGCGGTGTATTTAAAAATAAATGCTGAGTCAACGAACATAATATTTGTTATTTTAATAAATTACAAGAATTTTACAAAAAATTGATAAAAATTTTAAATTATTACATTTTAAATTGAGTATGCAGTCGTACTAACATATTCAAAACTAGCACAGAACAGTCTTCCGTATCAAAATTAATGAATTTTTGGCCTAGTTATGAATTTTTTAAGCTTTGGATTGTACAAAAAATTGTCTTAAAAACAGATAAATATTGAAAAAAATGTGAAAATACGGAGTATTACAGTTTCAGTCGAAAGCTTGCCACGCAGTGAAGGAGTCATTTCCGACCCTATATACCATACATATTCTTGATCAGCATCAACAGGCAAATTTTTCTAGGCTTAAAAGAGAGAAGCAATTTTATGGTAAATTTTTTTTTTTAATTATAAGGGGTTACAAAAAAAAATAGTTTCAGTCAGAAGCTTGCAACGCAGTGAAGGAAACTTTTCCGACCCTATAAATCAAATATATTCTTGATCAGCATCAACAGGCGAATCTATAGGTTTGTATTTTTGGCTTAGTTATGAGTTTTCTAAGCTTTGGTTAGCAAAACACATTTTCGTACAAATATAGATAAATATTTAAAAAAATTTGAAAATACGGAGTATTACAGTTTCAGTCGAAAGCTTGCCACGCAGTGAAGGAAACATTTCCGACCCTATAAACCTACCAACCAAATAAATGAATATAAACCCGCTTTCCGAATTGAAATTGATGCAATTTTGGCTTAGTTATAAAATTTTACATTTTGATTTGTAGTAAAATTTTCCTATAAAAATATAAATAATATCGATTAAAAAATGGTATTGCACCTACAGTCGGCAGCTTAAAACTAAGTGAAGGTGTCATTTGCGACCCTATAAACCCTATATTTTCTAGATCAGCAGCAACAGGCGAATATTTCTGGCTATCTCCGGGCAAAGAAATTTTTTTCAGAAATTTAACATTATTTTTTTTAAATGGAAAGGGGTTACATCATTAAAATTTTCAAAAATCGGCCAAAAATTCACATTTTAAATTGAGTATGCACTTTTATCAACCTGCTCAACATATAAATTAATCCGCTTTCTGAATTGAAATTAATGCATTTTTGGATAAGTAATGAAATTTTTACATTTTGAATTGTAGTAAAATATAATTAATATCGCTTAAAAAATGGTATTGCACCTTCAGTCGGAAGCTTAAAACTATGTGAAGGAGTCATTTCCGACCCTATAAATCCTATATATTTTTGATCAGCAGCAACAGGCGAATATTTCTGGCTACCTCGGGGCAAAGAAATTTTTTTTCAGAAATTTAACGTTTTTTTTTTAAATGGAAAGGGGTTACATCATTAAAATTTCAAAAAATCGGCCATAAATTCACATATTAAATTGAGTATGCAGTTTTATTAAGCTGCTAAAAATGAACATAAATCCGCTTTCCGAATTGAAATTAATGCATTTTTGGATAAGTTATGAAATTTTAACAATTTGATTTGTGGTAAAATAATCATATAAAAATATAATTAATATCGCTTAAAAAATGGTATTGCACCTTCAGTCGGAAGCTTAAAACTAAGTGAAGGAGTCATATCCGACCCTATAAATCATATATATTCTTGATCAGCAGCAGCAGGCGAATATTTCTGAATTGACATTAATGCATTTTTGGATAAGTTATGAAATTTTTACATTTTGATTTGTGGTAAAATTCTATAAAAATATATAATATCGATTAAAAAATGGTATTGCACCTTCAGTCGGAAACTTAAAACTATGTGAAGGAGTCATTTCCGACCCTATAAATCATATATATTCTTGATCAGCATCAACAGGCAAATCTTTCTGGCTATCTCCGGGCAAAGATATTTTTTTTCAGAAATTTAACATTTTTTTTTAAATGGAAAGGGGTTACATCATTCAAATTTCCAAAAATCGGCCAAAAATTCACATTTTAAATTGAGTATGCACTTTTATCAACCCGCTCAACATATACATAAATCCGCTTTCTGAATTGAAATGAATGAATTTTTGGATAAGTAATGAAATTTTTACATTTTGATTTGTAGTAAAATTTTCCTTTAAAAATATAAATAATATCGATTAAAAAATGGTATTGCACCTTCAGTCGAAAGATTAAAACTAAGTGAAGGAGTCATTTCCGACCCTATAAATCCTATATATTTTTGATCAGCAGCAACAGGCGAATATTTCTGGCTATCTCCGGGCAAAGAAATTTTTTTCAGAAATTTAACATTTTTTTTTAAATGGAAAGGGGTTACATCATTAAAATTTCCAAAAATAGGCCAAAAATTCACATTTTAAATTGAGTATGCAGTTTTATCAACCTGCTCAACATATAGATAAATCCGCTTTCTGAATTGAAATTAATGAATTTTTGGATAAGTTATAAAATTTTTACATTTTGATTTGTAGTAAAATTTTCCTATAAAAATATAAATAATATCGATTAAAAAATGGTATTGCACATCCAGTCGGAAGCTTAAAACTAAGTAAAGGAGTCATTTCCGACCCTATAAATCCTATATATTTTTGATCAGCAGCAACAGGCGAATATTTCTGGCTATCTCCGGGCAAAGAAATTTTTTTCAGAAATTTAACATTTTTTTTAAATGGAAAGGGGTTACATCAATAAAATTTCCAAAAATCGGCCAAAAATTCACATTTTAAATTGAGTATGCACTTTTATCAACCTGCTCAACATATAAATTAATCCGCTTTCTGAATTGAAATTAATGCATTTTTGGATAAGTAATGAAATTTTTACATTTTGATTTGTAGTAAAAATATAATTAATATCGCTTAAAAAATGGTATTGCACCTTCAGTCGGAAGCTTAAAACTATGTGAAGGAGTCATTTCCGACCCTATAAATCATATATATTCTTGATCAGCAGCAACAGGCGAATATTTCTGGCTGCACTTTTATCAACCTGCTATATGTTAATATAAACTAATCCGCTTTCTGAATTGAAATTAATGCATTTTTGGATAAAAAATGGTATTGCACCTTCAGTCGGAAGCTTAAAACTAAGTGAAGGAGTCATTTCCGATCCTATAAATCATATATATTCTTGATCAGCAGCAACAGGCGAATATTTCTGGCTATCTCCGGGCAAAGAAATTTTTTTTCAGAAATTTAACATATTTTTTTAAATGGAAAGGGGTTACATCATTAAAATGTATAAAAATCGACAAAAATTCACATATTAAATTGAATTTTGATTTGTAGTAAAAATATAATTAATATCCCTTAAAAAATGGTATTGCACCTTCAGTCGGAAGCTTAAAACTATGTGAAGGAGTCATTTCCGAACCTATAAATCATATATATTCTTGATCAGCAGCAACAAGCGAATATTTCTGGCTATCTTCGGGCAAAGAATTTTTTTTCAGAAATTTAACATTTTTTTAAAAAATGGAAAGGGGTTACATCATTAAAATTTCCAAAAATCGGCCAAAAATTCACATTTTAAATTGAGTATGCACTTTTATCAACCCGCTCAACATATACATAAATTCGCTTTCTGAATTGAAATTAATGCATTTTTGGATAAGTTATGAAATTTTTACATTTTGAATTGTAGTAAAAATATAATTAATATCGCTTAAAAAATGGTATTGCACCTTCAGTCGGAAGCTTAAAACTATGTGAAGGAGTCATTTCCGACCCTATAAATCCTATATATTTTTGATCAGCAGCAACAGGCGAATATTTCTGGCTACCTCGGGGCAAAGAAATTTTTTTCAGAAATTTAACGTTTTTTTTTAAATGGAAAGGGGTTACATCATTAAAATAAAATAAATATAAATAATATCGATTAAAAAATGGTATTGCACATCCAGTCGGAAGCTTAAAACTAAGTAAAGGAGTCATTTCCGACCCTATAAATCCTATATATTTTGATCAGCAGCAACAGGCGAATATTTCTGGCTATCTCCGGGCAAAGAAATTTTTTTTCAGAAATTTAACATTTTTTTTAAATGGAAAGGGGTTACATCAATAAAATTTCCAAAAATCGGCCAAAAATTCACATTTTAAATTGAGTATGCACTTTTATCAACCTGCTCAACATATAAATTAATCCGCTTTCTGAATTGAAATTAATGCATTTTTGGATAAGTAATGAAATTTTTACATTTTGATTTGTAGTAAAAATATAATTAATATCGCTTAAAAAATGGTATTGCACCTTCAGTCGGAAGCTTAAAACTATGTGAAGGAGTCATTTCCGACCCTATAAATCATATATATTCTTGATCAGCAGCAACAGGCGAATATTTCTGGCTGCACTTTTATCAACCTGCTATATGTTAATATAAACTAATCCGCTTTCTGAATTGAAATTAATGCATTTTTGGATAAAAAATGGTATTGCACCTTCAGTCGGAAGCTTAAAACTAAGTGAAGGAGTCATTTCCGATCCTATAAATCATATATATTCTTGATCAGCAGCAACAGGCGAATATTTCTGGCTATCTCCGGGCAAAGAAATTTTTTTCAGAAATTTAACATATTTTTTTAAATGGAAAGGGGTTACATCATTAAAATGTATAAAAATCGACAAAAAATTCACATATTAAATTGAATTTTGATTTGTAGTAAAAATATAATTAATATCCCTTAAAAAATGGTATTGCACCTTCAGTCGGAAGCTTAAAACTATGTGAAGGAGTCATTTCCGAACCTATAAATCATATATATTCTTGATCAGCAGCAACAAGCGAATATTTCTGGCTATCTTCGGGCAAAGAATTTTTTTTTCAGAAATTTAACATTTTTTTAAAAAATGGAAAGGGGTTACATCATTAAAATTTATAAAAATCGGCCAAAATTCACATATTAAATTGAGTATGCAGTTTTATTAAGCTGCTAAAAATGAACATAAAACAGCTTTCTGAATTGAAATTAATGCATTTTTGGATAAGTTATGAAATTTTTACATTTTGATTTGTAGTAAAATTTTGCTATAAAATATATATAATATTGATTAAAAAAT